GAGACGTGAGCGCGCACACGTACACACACGGTGGGGGCAGAGGCTCCGAGGCGCCCAACTTCTCCCCGCTTCCGTGCGCCCCTGGAGAAGGCCGGGGGGGGGGGGCGTGCTTGGGAAGAGAGCTCTAACAGGAAAAGAGAAGATGGGGAGAATTTCATGGGTTTCGTTGGGGGTGGGGATTTTTTTTTTTTTTAACCATTCCCATGAGATGGCCGGAGAGTCCAGGGAACCCGGAGCGGGATGGTGAGTAGCGCTGGGGGAAAATGGAAGTGTTTGGAAACGCGTAAAGTTGCCTTTCAAGCTCCGACCTCCAGGGCGAGCGATGCTCCGCGGGGCGAACTCAGAGCCACCTGGGCCTCCCTGCCGCCCACGTGGAAGCCATGCAAGTCCCGTCTGTCACCTGGGTCCCCGCAGCCGAGCCGGAGTGGGGAGAGGCGAGACAGTGGCGCCCTCCGTGTGGCACGGGGAGAGCTGGGCGGTTGCTCGGGCCAAGTCCTACATCTAGTGCTTCTGCTCTTAAATAGTTTGAGGGGTTTTTAACGCAAAGCGCCACAACGCCAGGAGTTCCCATATGTGCTCAGTCTACCCTCGGCATCCCTGTGTCCGGTCTTTCCAGCGCTGGGGGCTGGGTCTCCCACTCACACGGCGGGGAGAGGAAACTTTGCGGGTCTGCAGCCAGCCGGGGCCGGGGGACGCCGTCCCAGGGCAGACCCTTCCTCTCACCTCTTTAGTTGCCACCGGAGCTGCGATTCGCTTTTGTCTTTAAGCCGGTGCGGCCATTGCCCTGGAGCCCCCGCACACGCGCACGCCTCTCGGGCCGCGCTCACCGCACTCACTCACACACACGGGGCGCAGGCCCCGCCCCCCGGCCGTGTTGTCAAACGGGCCGGGGTCTCCGATTGGTCCAGCGGCCGGGACAACACCTGCTCGACTCCTTCATTCAAGTGACACCAGAGCTTCCAGGGATATTTGAGGCACCATCCCTGCCGTCGCCGGGCACTCGCGGCGCTGCTGGCGGCCTGGTCACATGCTCTCCGGGGAGCTCCGGGAGGGCGCCGGGTAACCTCTATCCAGCCTCGGCCGCGAGGAGGAGGGAGAAGGCGAGCGAGCAGGGAAAGTGGGAGGAGGAGGGGAAGCGGCGAAGGAGGAGGAAGGGGGGGAGGGGAGCACAAAGATCCCAGGTCTCCGGCCGGGAGGTTTACCCCGAGGACGATGTGTGCCGAGCGGCTGGGCCAGTTCGTGACCCTGGCTTTGGTGCTGGCCACCTTTGACCCGGCGCGGGGCACCGACGCGACCCACCCGCCCGAGGGGCCGCAGGACAGAGGCTCCCAGCAGAAAGGCCGCCTGTCCCTGCAGAACACAGGTAAGGAAG